TTATTAATGATAAACTAATTTCCGGAAATATTGGATCGATTGTAAAGATTTTGAACATAATTCATCACTGCCCTGAAAAAATAATGTGTGACAAAATTCATCGAAATATCTTAGGTAGTTTCTGAGAAAATTTCAAAAGAATTAGGAATAAACGTATTTTTTTTTTCGAGGTAGTCTGACATTTTTACTCTGATTTTCTGATTTTCAATACCAAACTGCTTAGGATAATAATAAATATTTTGGGTGAATTTGGTTGATTTCCTTTGCGTAGTTTTAACGTGAGAGTGTTTCACACAGACTGACAGATGGGCATAGCTTAATCGACTCAGAATTTCATAAGCACCCAGAATATATATACTTTGTTGGGTCTTAGATGAATATTTCTTGGTGTTACACACGGAGCGACAAACTTATATAAATATATCCTCTATCACCACTGATGGCGATGGAGGGTATAAAAACCGTTCCTAAAATAGGGTAAATTATATATTCATATTACATTTTGTTAATTACATTTTTAACAAAATGTAATATGAATATATGTAACACTTAAATCTACAAATCTATCTAGCAAATCATTCATATCTCCCTTAAAATTTCTATTTATATAACCCTTTAAAAATTGACGTTAAATAACTCTCAATTCGAGAAAACAATAAAAATCCGTAATTACTCATATTTTCCATACAAATCGAGTTTTATATCAAAAATATAAAATATAAAAAAAAATATATATATAATTGTAAAATCGAGATAAAAATTAAAATCTGTGATCAGTTAAATATACCATCAAAAAATTATCTTGATATAAATTCGGTTGCCATTTTCTAAATGCAGCTCAAATCTATAAAACCAAATCTACTCATTAGAGTGTCCCGAAATACAGCACTATTGCAAATCTTATATAGGTAGACCTCTCCGAAATTTGTTTGATTAGAAGAAGATGTGGATATTTTAAAAAGTAAAATTATTTGGGTATCTATTTGTATATCTAACGATATTTGACCTTTAAACCTTTATTTCTTTGGATTTAATAAGTGGTGACTAAATCCAGCCAAAACTTTAGTGTGGATATATAAATGCTAATGAACAAAAATTATATTTTTAAACATACTTTTGTATAAATGGATGTATTTTTGAGAAACAATGACGGTGGTTTTAATATTTAATGAACAACTCAAAATTGTTTGTCAAATTAAAAGTTGTTTTGTTTTCTCTGTTAAGATTCAAGGATTCTTCATATTTTCCTAGCACAGAAAAAACGTAATTTTGTTCTTTTTAAAGGAATTTGAGAAATTATACTGAATTCAGCATTTTCAACCACTGGTAGGGAACAAAGGACACTTTCAAATTATTTGTTTTATTTTTTCCATATGCATCCACCACCATCAGTGGCGATAGAGGGTATATATAAGTTTGTCATTCCGTGTGTAACACCAAGAAATATTCATCTGAGACTCAACAAAGTGTATATATTCTGGATCCTTACGAAATACTGAGTCGATTAGGTGTGTCCGTCTGTCTGAATTGAATTATCTGTCTGTCTGTCCGTCTATCTGCCTGCCTCAAACACTCTCACGTTAAAACTAAGAAAAAGAATTCAGCCAAATTCACTGAAAATATTCACTATTGTTCTAAGCAGCTTTGAAAATCAGCCAAATCGTTTCACAACGTAAAAAAAAATTTCAGACTACCTCGAAAAAAAATTACGTTTTATTCCTAATTCGTGAGTAGTTTTCACAGTTAATGGAATGAATTTTGTCACACGTTATTTTCTTCATCAAGGGATCAAAAATGTTCAAACTCAAAACAATCGATTCAAAATTTCATAGCCCCTATACAAAGGCACATATTTTCGGAAATAGGTTTACCACCACGAAATTTCGCACATATGTATATAATATATACAGAAATCATATTACCAACGTAGATCTGTATAGGCCCATTATTGGTCACAGCTCCTATATAAGGCCCACTTTTGAAAAATACTTAAATACAAATAATTAATTAAGAAATAAAGATATTGGAATAATATTCAAAAATATGCAAAATATTTTTCGGATTGGTCCATAATTGGACATAGCTCCCATATAAGGTCCATTTCCGATAACCACGAAATCGCACATATTACATAACTGGATGAAGAAATCGGTATAAAATTCATCATGAATGTGTTTAAAGTAGATATAAAACATTCTGCGAAATGTTTTCCGGACCACTTCCGAAAATCGCTTAAATGCAAATATCCTATTAAGAAATAAAGATATTTAAAAAATAGGCTATATAAATAAGTTTTTTTCTGATCGGTCCATAATATCGCTAAAGCATATCTTTGGGCGTTATAAAAATATGAAAGAAAATGGTATCTGTAATATTCAATAATTTAACCCCGTGTCTATATTAGACAAATATTTATTATGCTAAACGTCATGATAAAAAATTAGCAGGTACAGACGGTATTTATTAGCCTTATAACGTCGTTATGACAGTGTTGTCTAAACAATTGTTTAGACAACGTTGTCTTGATAACAAACGTCATTTTATTGTAAAATTTATTTAGAATTTCGTTTTTGTGCAATTAAAATAGATTTTTAACATTAGTTTTAGTGAAATTAGTGTTTATTTACAAAATTTCAATAAAATTATCTGTGAGTTGTCGTGATAAAATCAGCGTTTTGTTACCCCTATGTATTAACATAAACAAAAAACTGACAATTTTTCTGCCGACGTTTTGTCAAATGTGATAAATATTTGTCTAATATAGACACGGGGTAACAGATTTATGCTGTTTAAATATTGGAGGTTTTCTATTAAAAAGCATGTAAAATTTATTTCTACAAATATTTGATCAATTAAAAAAGTATTAATATAAAAGTAGCTGGTGGAGGGTATTTAGGATTCGGCTCAGCCGAATATCTATCCATGTATGCCAAATGTCATTGTTGATTTTGTTGCAATTTTCATCAGATACGTTATTTTAAATATCAGTTGATATCGACACTACTTAACTGTGTTAGTAAATGTTTATAGTTGAAAAAAACTGTATTACTTACATTTGTGTCAGAATATTTTAATATTTATGTATTTCTTATTTGTTTTTATATGAGTTTTTATGTAAAAAATAACGAATTACTGAACAAATGCAGAACACTAATAAAAATACAGAACATTTTCACGTTTTTTAGGAAAGTATAATTTATACAGAACAGGGCTCGAAAATACCGTACTGTTCTGTATAATACAGAACGTCTGGTCACCGTAGGTATATAACACTTTATAGTTTAACTAAAATATTGACACAAACATCAACTTATTTGTTATGCTTGCTTTGTAAATAACTGTTTCCATGTTATTGTTTACATTATTTCGAAATGTGTTCGTAGCGTACATTGGCTTGGATAAATTTAAATAAAATTTGATCTACACTGTGTCACTAAAGTCTACCAACAATTTTAAATTTAGATATTTTTCTGTGTATTAAAGGAAAATTAAAAAAATCGTTTACATTATTGTAAATGTTATATTTTGAGAAATATAAATTATAAGAAATGGTTTTTCAGTTCCAATAAAAAAAATATTTTTAAAAGAAAAATAAAATTTTTTCATGTTTTGAATTTCACAAACGATGGATTTGAATGTTTAATAAATCAATAAGTTACTTTCCGAAATGGCCTTTTTTTGTTATATATTCGGTGTTAATCTATTCTATATTAAATATGAACTTTTAATGGACAACTATTTCGAAATGTTTGAACATTAATCTCCAAAAAGGATAACTACATAATGCTAGATCAGTGCTAACAGATTCTCCTGAATATGCAGAGGTCAATACTTTCAACATTTACAAGAGTATTTGAAGCTACAAGACCACAGGATGACATTCGTGCTCAGTTATCCCTTTTATGAGATTAATGGGCAAACGTATCGAAATATTTATCAAAAAAACTTCAAATAAACTAACAAAAAATATATACCCAAAAAAATACCCTTTTTTAATAAACATTAAAATCCATCGTTTGTAGACTTTTGTGAAATTAAAAAAATTAAAAAAAATGTTTATGTGGCATAGTGTAGATTGAATTTTGAAAGACGGAAAAAACCGTTTCGGTAAATTTTATTGAGGTTTATTGTGTATTAATTTCAACGAATTATATTAAATTCATCTATTTTAAAATGTAAAAAGTCTGAAAATTTTACGAAAAATTAGAAAATTTCGGTAACTTTTACGGTTACACAAAAATTTCTAATATGACGTTGAAAGCGTCTCTCAATGACCTTTCTTATGATACCAAAATTGTATATCCTTCCTTTAGAAGAAATAAAAAAAAATCATAAGAACCTCAAAAAAGACTGCTTGTTAGATTTTATTTATATACACCATTAAATATAAAATTTACATATACTTCATTCAGCTCATCTCATTATATGCTAAAATGTCCTATATTATTATTATAATTATTTTTTTTACATTTTTTTAACTTTAATTTATATTCTTTATTTATTTACTTTTATTATTATTGTTATTTTATTAAAATTGAATGTTGTCTAATTAAGTAGTGTTATTGGATCCGATTATGGCCTTTGGCTAGGATTCTGTATAAGAATGAATAAACTAAAAAAGTCAAACAAACGGGGCCGCCATAATGTTCATATGTAAATGCCGTCTGCATCCGTCATAAGTGTTATTTTTATTGTTTTTAAAATATTGATTTTAGTATAAATATAAGTATAATATTATTTTATTACTTCAATCAACATAATTTTAACAAAACATAAATATAATTTCATTATGTGTTATATGTTATCGATATACATTTTTATTAAATGTTACATTTGGGTTATATTTTAGTATCTAAAACTTACAACTTGATTGTGAATAGAACAAATATTATTAAATTTGTTTACTCCCAAAAGAAATTTTGTTAAATTAAAAAATAAAATTAAATCTTAGCTTCATACTTAGTACGTGCTTATTGTAAAGTATATTGTTTTTGTTCTAGTGATTGTTATAAATGGCCACAATAGATGGAAGACCGGCTCAATATGGGATTTCTCTTAAGCAATTACGAGAGCTCATGGAACACAGAGGCCGAGAGGGTGTTCAGAAAGTTCAAGAATTTGGTGGTATAACAGAAATTTGTAAAAAACTATATACATCGCCAAATGAAGGTAAAAAAAATGCTATGAATTACAATTGACTTACTTTTAATGTATCTAATTAATATAAATATTTCTTCAAATTAGGTTTGGGTGGATCAAAATCTGATGTAGAACATAGAAGAGAAACATTTGGGTCTAATACTATACCACCGAAACCTCCCAAAACCTTTCTTACACTAGTTTGGGAAGCTTTGCAAGATGTAACACTTATTATTTTAGAAGTTGCAGCATTAGTATCACTTGGTCTGTCATTTTATAAACCTGCCGATGAGGATGCCCGTAAGACTAATTTTATTTAATTCAAAAATTTTAAAAAATAAATGAAATGTAAATTATTTATTTTCAGCTGTTTTGCAAGAGGAGGAAGACCATCATGGTTGGATTGAAGGTCTAGCGATTTTAATTTCAGTAATAGTGGTAGTCCTAGTGACAGCTTTTAATGATTATTCCAAGGAACGTCAATTTAGGGGCTTACAAAATCGTATAGAAGGCGAACACAAATTCTCTGTAATACGTGGCGGAGAAGTGTGCCAAATATCCGTAGGGGATATTGTAGTTGGCGATATTGCTCAAATCAAATATGGTGATCTGTTGCCAGCTGATGGTATTCTCATACAAAGTAATGACTTGAAGGTACATACAAAAATTGATTGATTTTGTAGGATATTTTATTTGGTTTTACTTTTACGTTTTTTTTAATTTAAAATTATTTCCAGGTCGATGAGTCTTCATTGACTGGAGAGTCTGATCACGTCAAGAAAGGTATTGAAAATGATCCTATGGTATTATCAGGAACGCATGTTATGGAGGGCAGCGGTAAAATGGTTGTTACTGCTGTTGGTGTTAATTCACAAGCTGGTATTATCTTTACTCTATTGGGTGCAGCCGTCGATGAACAAGAAGCGGAAATCAAAAAAATGAAAAAAGGTAATCGTATATAAACAATTTGGAATAGTCAAAATATTGCCCTATATATTGAACGGAGAGATATAATATAAAATATGTATATATGTTAAAAAATTAGAATAGTAATAGAAAGTAAATTTTTTTCAATTCCAAGTACATAGATATGCGCATATGTATGTATATTAGGGTAATAGCCAAAATTAGGCCCTATCACTACGTTGTAGCATGTAGTGTTCTAATGCAGAAAAAATTTTCTTGGGTCATTTTTGTGCAAAAACCTTCCCCTGCTAATCAATTTTTCTAAAATCATTTACATACAAATTTAAATACATTTTTAATAAAACGCATCCCATATCCTTGCTTTATCTCGGTATAAATGTCTTGGATAAAATAAATACACATGTTTATATATATACAAAAAAAATCGTTTTTATATCAACACAATTAAAATTTTTTTAAAGTAAATATCGTAAACTTTAAAGTGTTTTCGCGGAAACTTTTTTAACGCTCGGGAAATAGTGACAAGCTTTTAGAGTTTAAAAGTTCAGAATATAATGAAACTTACAAAACCCGCCCTCTAAAAAGTAGGCGTGAAAAACTTTTTTTATTCGTTATTTCACACAAAATCAATAATTCTAATAACGGTGAGCGTTATTGGAAAAAAATTAGCTAAAATCGACATAGGGCATGTATTATTATATTATTTAAAACTTATAAATATTAATAAAAATAAAGGAAATATAATTATTACTATTGTATGTAGACTTTATTGGGCTACTGTATATTAAGGTTATGCCTTTTTTGGGCAGCAAAATACCATAGCAGTTCCTAATAGATAATACTGTCCTGATAATAAAAGGCTATTTTTTAAGTCAATTCGGTCAAAAAACTTTCCGCACCGAAAGCAATTTCTAAAATGCTTTCGTTTCTTATTTTTCAAAAATGATTTATTTATTTATTTATTACAATAATACAATTAAGTAATTAAAATAGGCAAAGACTATCGACTCCGAATTTTAAAGAATTACAGATTTACTTTAAATTAGATTAGAGTTTATTGAATAGTTTAGTTCTTAGCAGGAAATGTTTGTTCTTGTATCCCGTAAAGATGGACATTCATCGAGTATGGGTGTAATGTTGAGTTGGATATTGCATGAGGTGCAATCTGGTGATGATCATTTATCCGGAAGATGTTTATGTGTTAGTTTGGTATGCCCAATTCTCATCCGAGAAATTATAATTGTAATGTTTCTTGGGCATTTGGGATTTTGGCTATTTTGCTTGTACTCCCAAAGTATTAATGGCTTTGAGGGGTGTTGATAATTTGACCAATTCCAACTTATATAATTATTTTAAAAGGGATATATAAGGTTCAAAATATCGCGATATTCACAGGTAGAAAAAGTATATAGTGGTCTGTTTTTTTGCTTCGGCTGCAGCTATATCAGCAAATTCATTGCCTGGAATACCGACGTGTGAAGGAATCCATAAGAAATTGATTTTGTTGGAGTTTTTGATGCAGATGTTTCTTATTTTGGTAATCAGCGGAGAGTCATATAGTGTGTTTTTTTATGGTCATGAGAGAAGAAAGACTATCAGAACAAATAACTGATTTTGACGGACAATGAGAAGCATACTCAACTGCCATGTATATGGCATATGCTTCAGCTGTAAAGGTGGAGTAGTGATTATCAACAAAGCCACTGTATATACACAAACTATCGTTCTGAACAACTGCAAATGTTGTAAACTGGGAAGATTTTGAACCATCGGTGAATATTAGTTTACAGCCATGTTGTTGGAGATTATGTATAATGTCGTCAAAAACTTGTTTATATATCATTGGTGAAGTTGTTGTTGTAGCAGCGACACCAGAAATTACACGTATATATAGTTAAAAATTATTCCCTACTCTTCTTTTTCTTTGCTCTGGTTATCCAAATCTGTTAGATCTAAACCCAGTAGATGAGCCGCATCTAACGGCTGAGGTCAAAGGGATTCAGGTTAGATGGTGGTTCGGGTAGTCCCTCCGATGACATCCCAGTAGGAACTGCTTCGACAGCATGATGTTATGTTCCATGACTGAAAGCATCTTCGTTTCGTCATGCAGGTGTTCTTCAGACGTCATTTGGTGTGCGCGGAGAACATAAGGATATCGAATGTGACACCAAGTATTTTGTGGTGATTTACCGTCGGAATTTTTTCGCCATCGTCTGTGACATCCACTTCTAGCCCTACTTCCTTAGTCCAAGTGGTAAAGAGAGTTGTTGAGGATTTTGTTGGCGATATTTTTAAATTCCTCGAATGGAAGCAGCTGGAAAGATCACATAGGTAACTGTTTATCAAACTGCAAAGGTCATTAATACTATTGACCGTGGCCAATAGTACTGATGATGATACTGCATTACCAATTATTTGCCTTGGTTGGTGAACCCACTATATTAGAGGGTTTCACTCTATTATTGAGTATAATATACTTTGTTTACTGTTGGCGATTTTGCTATTTCTTTGGTTTTTTGTATTGTATTTTCTGGTTCTTATTGATTTGTTGCTATGGCTCCTGCGAGCAAGAAGAAGGCTGGCAAGGGTAAGGCGGATACGTCGGATATGTCGGCCGAAGATGCGGGTATTTCTAAGCCGGTGCCCAAGGGTGATGCGTCCGTCACGACGGCTTTTGAGTTCGAGCCGCCGGCTGCCAGCAGAAGATTGAGACACACGGAGTTGGCAAACAACTCGGGTAAGGGGTCGGGCAAACGATTTCAGCCTGGGTTTCCGATGGCTAAACGAGCTGCTGCTGTTGCTGCTCCTGCTGCTGCCGCTGGTGTTGCTGCTCCCGTTGCTCTGAGTTGTGGGGTTGTTGCTGCTGCAAGTAGGGCAGGTCATGTCTCGTCGGCCTCGCGAGGTGTAAGTGCAAAATGAGGCAATAGTAGGTGCCAAGGCAATTACACGGGAGATTATGGAGGCGGTCTTAGTCGATTGAAAAAAAGTTGCTGGAAAACGCGGCTAAGTTCGAGGCGCTGGTATTCAACCTCATGGCGGAAAATGAGAGGCTGAAGAGTAAGCTGGAGGTTTTGGAAGCTGGCCAACCAGCTTTCAAAGTGCATGCAGCCCCGTTAGTTGCTGCAAAGCCGTCGTCGGCTCCTAAGAGAGTTTCTGCTGCTGCTGTTGTACCCGCTGTTGTTCCGGCTAATTTGCTGAAGCCTGTCGAGACGTGGTCAAGGAAAAGAAAGGTGTGTCGTCGCAGGAGTTGGTGGATAAGGTTGTCAAGGAGGTTGGCCATACTTTGGGCGTGCGAGTACAAGAGCATAGGCCTTTACGTCGTAGTGGTGGTACGGTGATACGTACACCATCGGTTGCTGAGAGGGAGAAGGTTGCGGCTAACGAGAAGTTTGGGGAAGTCGGTTTGTCAGTGTATGACAAGTTGGGTCCAAAGGTGGTGGTTCAGCGAGTCCATTCGGAAATTACTCCGGTGGAGTTCATGGGGGAGCTCGATGATCTGAATTACAGGCGTAGGATGACTCCTGAGGAGTTTAAGTGATCGGTACGGTTGGTTTTTGCTCCCTGGAAGTCTACAGGCGGGCTGGTCAGTGTTGTTCTGGAGGGCAGTAATGAGGCCATGCAGCAATTGCTGGATAATGGCCGGTGTTACGTGAAATGGTTTTCATTTATGGTACGCCTACACGATGCCGTGCCTAGCTGTTTCCGATGCCTGGGCTTCGACCACAGGGTTTGACAGTGCAGGATGACGGAGGGAGTTTGCCGCCTCTGCGGACAGGTTGGCCATATGGCGTCCCGCTGTTCACTGCAGGAATTGTTTAAGGGGCTTAGGGGCTCCCGGCGGATCATCTGATGATGTCAGCCTCCTGTCCGGTTTATAGTGCCATGGTCGCTAGGGCTAATGCCAGACATTGAATATGGATTCCAACTCCATTAACTTTTTGCAGCTCAACTGCCGACTTTTGCACTTGTGGAGGAGCCGTATACCTCGGGTGGCCGCATAGGGGGTTTGCCGGGGGTACGGTGGTTTACTGACGACAGGGGAATGCGGACGTTATTGAGTGTGACTGTGACTTGGACTGTACAGTTTTTTAGTTAGTATCTCCGTCGAAGGTAGTTTCGGTAGGTTGATCCTAGTTAGCGTATTCTGTAGGTTTGGTTATCCATTGGAACCATACTTAAGTTACTTGGATTCGGTGCTACTTCTTGCGAGTAGTTATCCTGTAGTCCTAAGCATAGACACAAACGCATGCGCTCGTATGTGGTTCAGTAAGATGGACAGGTTAGCCTCTGGCCATCAGAACTATATACGAGGAGTTATGCTTAGCGAATGGCTGGTTACCAAGTGCGTCATGGTACTAGTGACATGGTACTAGTGACATGGTACTAGTGACATTGACGTTACAGCTGCCAATGGTGCAGCTATGACAGCCTTTGACCTTAGGTGGAGGGTGTCCAATGACTGGAGTGTAAGTGACCATAGGCTCATTGAGTTACGGCACTAACGTAGAGGATTTAGTTCAGCGCAAAGCTGACAACTTTTCGGCCCTACGTACGTATAAGGACATGATTGTTAGGGTAAAAGAGGACGAGTGGAGAGACTTTGTACGAGACAATAGAGATGCCATTGGGGTGCGGTTTACCGTATCTGCAGCAGAAGAGGCAGACATGAGGACTGGGATCACTTCATGTTGGCGGTACTGTATTGTCAACATGGGGGGATTCCTCGTGAAGAGGGGGTCATCCCCTCATCATGGTGGAAGGACAGTCTCGTGCTGTTATAGAGACCATTGGTGGGGAGGTTATGCGTCGCGTTAATTCGTGGGGTAGTAGCGTTGGTGTGGAGGTGGCTATGGACAAGACGGTGATGAAGCTGCTGAAGGGCAGCTTATCACCGGCTCGTCCACCGTGTATACGTTCTGGCAATGCGGCCCTCAAGTATGTGACTGAGGTCAAGTACTTGGGGATTACTATGATCGAGAGGATGAACTTTTTGGTTCATCTTATTCGGGTCAGAGACAAGC